CGTAGTTCTACCTCAAAATGCAACTGTGGTTCAAGATGGAAACATTTTATTGAGGACTACTATTGTTTGAGAGGGTTGGTTTATGAACTACTACTATTGTGGGTATGGGTGGTTAATTATTGAAAAACGTACCAGTACTGCTGATGATGATGACTGATGCTGAAGTTGGACGGCTTCGACGATGTTGGGCGAACGCTCGCTGGACTCACTGAGCTACGAGTTCTGCCAGATTCGGTGTGGCGATCGTGCTCAAAGTTGGCTGAGTGGCGGTGTGAGGAAGCAGTTTCGTTGGCGCTTGAAACCACTATAGGTCCTCCCAGGCGTCTTCCCTCATAGACTTACATCTGCAGAGTCCAGGCAAGGCCGGAGTGACTTTACCGAGAGGGGAACGTCTCCTTGGCAGTTAGGGAGGGTTCCTGAGACAAATTCCTTCTAGCCAATTATTTTTGTTCTGGCTTGAGAAAGGCTAGTTCCTTTGCTTTTAGTTCTAGCGGCCCCTAGAGACTGCTAAGCCGGATCACGTGCGCGTCGGTTGAACTTGTCAACGGACAAAATAGCGGTGTGAACCAAACGATAATACAAAAGGTCCTGTGAGGGTATCGAATGGACGTTAGTTCAACCGTTAGTTTTAGTTTGGACAGAGAACTATTTACCTGAATTGAGCTGTGGTGCAGCAAATCGTCACACTCGAATATTACCACTCACTACTATAGTCGCTATATTCATAGCCTTGCGGATACAATTTCGATTTATCAAAAAGCAGAACCAATTCAATATATAGTAGACCAACAATTGATTATTCTTCCCTCGTTAATCGAACGCAAATTACCAGGATCATCGGATAGGGGAAACATTCCCCAACCCAAAGATGGTATTAATTTGCGTAGGAGAGTCTTGAGTCACGAGAAAAAGGGTTCCGAAGTTTTGTTCGTAATAACTGATGTGCTCTTTTCTGTTGTTGGTGGTGATTTGCTCGATTGGTTCCGCTATTTTACAGCTCAATTGGTTCCCGAGATTCTATTTCTGCTCCAGAACTATACACTGTCCTCCAGTTGTTCTGATTGAAAGGTGATTCTCGGTAGAAACAGTGAAAAATCGGTAGTTTTGAACCTTTCGTCTGTGAATCGGTAGGCATGCCGAAAATCGGTAGGACTACCGATAAATCGGTAGGCATGCCGAAAATCGGTAGGACTACCGATAAATCGGTAGGTTTGGCCACCCTTACGGCGAATGCAACTCTTTACCCCTATTGTGAAATTCGATAGACATGCTGCCGGTAGGGCTACCACATATACAGATTATTCTGTATTTTACAGATTTCAGGACCAAGAATCCGTACATACAGAAATACAGATTTTTATCTAAAATCAGATTATACAGATTTTACTGAATTCCAAATAAATGTCTTCATTACTTTCAAATCATAATATGATTTAATTTTTTATTCTAATCTAATCTAATCTAATCTAATCTAATCTAATCTAATACAAACGCAGCCAGTACGAGAAAGCATCCTGGAAAATGATTAGGTTAGATGAGGTCTAATCATTTTTCTTGTCTAATTGATGTTTACAGCATATCTGAGATATGATATAAACATCAATACGGCCAGGCCTACTGCGTTGTATTTGCCGCAAAGATGATTCTTGGAAACATTTCTTGAATCTACAGGGGTGCAAGGATGCATGCACATACCGTTCCAAACGCTACGAGTTACTATGTGTAGTTGTGTGTAATGTGTAAATATTTTTACAATATAATATGATTTAACTTTTCATTGAGCATTGTTCTGAAAATTTACAAAGTAGCTTAAATAAATATTAGTTCAAGCTTCCTCTCTGTCAAAAATTGCATGATATAGAAATGTCAGCAAGTGTCAGAAATACAATCGCTTTGATGAAAGAATTACATTTAATTATAGGTACGTAATACATAATATATAAAGAAGAGGTACATTTAATTTAAAATGTTTTTTTTTTTTCACCTAGAAGAATTCAGTTATCTATGTAAAAAGCAAATAGTTTTCAGTTATTAAACGCTCAGTGTTTGAAAATTATTGCCAATTGAGGAATTTATTGCATCTGGTAATTAAAAGTTGAATCAACAACTGTAGCATTAATAGCATGATGCGGTTATAAGTATCGATACGGATTTTTGATGAATAGGGAATATGTACTCAGTTAAGTAAAATTCCGAATAAAACCTAACTTTCGAAAGCATTTTTCATGAACAGATTCATTTACAGATTTAAGTGTGGCAACCCTGCCTGTCAGTCTGCCAATTAATGCGTTAAGAAACGCTGGTTGACAGTTCCGTCGTCAACGCCAAATGGGTTTTGATTGTTGTTCCGACAGTTCCCGTGTTTGGTAGTTTATTTTTTTTCCTTGATTTGTTTTTCCGTCGATCTTGTTTTCCGTGCTGAGCACCAACGCTAGGGAGGCAGTTCCCACACCTGGACCCTACCTATCGACCCATCAACTCATGAACCGGGGACCAACGGCTTTACTTACCGAAGGAAGGCCTGATCAGAGATGTTATGCCTTAGAACTGTGCTGTCATATTCTGTAGTTCTAGCCGTAGATCTCCAGAAGGTAATGTATTTTAGGATGAAAAACAATGTCCAGTTCAAGCATTCATAAATATGAACAAGACTAGACATTCTTTTTTTTTTCTTTTATAGTCACTGGATCATTCGTGACTTGTCCGGGGGTGAGGATTGAACTCGTGACTTTGGCGTGAGAGATATGGATGTTAACCACTACGCCGGGGTCGCCCCCAGCTAGACATTTTTTTTTAAATTTCCTCGAATTGTAAAACATTTGGGAACAAACATCAAAACTCATTTTGACTCGATTTTGTTCTCCTATATTGTAAATCCAGTTTTCTAGTAATAGGATCACTAATTAAGTAACTAGTATAAATACAAATTTTTAATTGCATACGTTCAACTCTGAGACTGTTATGATGATTAGTGATATGGGACTGACAAGGTTTTGTAATTTTTATATCAAACATAGTATTTTCGTTTGAATTATGAAAGTACATTTAATTTAAAGATAGTTCATGAATCTATCTTAAAAGTGGCGAAAACTAAGTGTGTTTATGGGCAGTAATTTTTGAAATCAATCGTGTAGTTCTTTCTGACAATGATGCTCTAACACAAATTTTACCTAGCATTAAACTTATGTTCTTTGAAGCACTTCACACGGTCTTCAGATCGACTCAAAATTGAATCGAGTAGACTAAGTTTCGGCAAAAGTGGATTTACTCAAAAGTGAATTGAATTTTTCGTGCAAAAACCATGGAAAACAAGGAAAAACTTCTCGAGGAGTAAAGCAAAAGCCGTTTTTAAAGGCACTCAGTTTTGTAAATCTCACCGTTTATGGTACCTTTGGTCACCAATGGTTCACTCCGTTTGCCACAAGTGCATATCAGGTACTTCAAAGCGAATTTCAACAACTACTCCCGTTTGAAACGGTCATCCACAGCAAACTTGCAAACCCGTGAAATATTCCTATTCAACTGCTGAAAACCCCAGTTTTCCCAAGGCACGATGCGACAACCCAGGATTTTTGAATGCGGGTGAACAAAATCCTTTCGCGAACGGTTTCCTGATTTTCTTCCATCTCAACCGAAATCCCACTGACAACTGCACAACTTGAGCGGATGTAAACAATACACTATAAGGAGAAACTAGGTCAAGTATGAAAAAGTTAACAAGTTTGAAAGTATCGCAATAATTATCGACACACCCTTTAGAATACATTTTCATACCCGCTATTTTGAAGCTACTCATTTTTGAGTCAAAAACGCCTCAGTCCAGCCAAAAGGAGAGTTACTCAAAAATGAGTAAACATTCGTTTACTCAAATTTGAGTAAACGTGCCTATGGAGGAAACTGGGTAACGGTTACTCAAATGATGACATTTACCAACTGACTTAGCCTTACCCATTTCGATAGAAAGGAATGAATGCGCCATGAATGCTTTATATATAAATTATTTCGTCTAGGAAGAATATTTAAAAAAAGTATTATGAAATGATAATTAAGTATTTATTGATACCAACACCAACAAGCTGCTTATAGCTTTCGCCAGCCAAGCTATTACCAACCGGTGGAAACTAACGATTTTAAATTGGCTCACACTGGACTAGCCTATCGGTCCCAAGTACATCCATTAACGTACCAGAGCAGAGTCAAAAAGTTGAGCACGTTTCTTTGGGACCTTCTGGTCTTAGAGTTACCTTTATGCTATTACGTAGTTGCTTCATTTTCACTGCTTCACTTCTAAAAACTAATTTAGTCTGCGCAAAAATCGCCTGTTCACAACTTCAAAGTGCGCCATTTTGAACATAGGAAAAATTGATATCAGAACCATTAAACCCAGAATCTGAGTAGATTCCACTCATCGGAGCAATACCAATTTACTCAATTTTTGACAAATCCATCCAAAAATGAGTGCTATCTATCCAGTCACTGAGTAGCCTCGAAATAACGTGTAGATTCAATAAATAATGTTGTCATATTTTGAACATCCTATTACGTTGTTTTTCCTTTCAATTAACAAAGCAATAAAGTATACAATTATTCTACTAAAAAGTACACCAATTAATTTATAGCCAATTTATACGATTTTCAAATAAGATATAATTTAAGTTCATACTATAAACATACTTTAAACATTAAGGTTTAAATTGTATAACCACAACTTTCAACCTTCACAGAAAGGACAGTGCAAATTCCATCCATGTTTGCGCATCGCCACTTCCGTAAGTGTGTGCGGCCACTGGCCGAACCCCTCCGAACGGGAGCCCAGGTACACTTAATAATTGTCCCATAAAAACAAATATCAATTGCCAGCGTCAATTGATAAAACGTGTGTGTTCCTGTCCTATTTTTACCCACCGTGCAGCGATTGGCATTCCCACACACAAAGTTCCATTATTCCCGCAGAAATAGTCATTTTAATTGATTTACGATACCGCTTCCAATCAACTTACCGCTTCCTCGAACTCGTTAAAATCCTCCAGATTTTCAATCGTTCGTAGCTGACGCAGCTCCTGCATTTGCTGTTTTAGGCTGTCGACCTCCCGTTGCAGATCGGTGATCCTGTTTATGTTCCATATCTGAAATAGCAAAAGACAATCGAGCGAATTAGAGGCGATTGAAGAAGGATTGCAGGCGACAACGTCAGTCAGTGAGCAGTTGGTAGAGAAGTGGGACAGTCTCTAATTAGTAGTTGAAACCATTTCTCTCCATCTATTTTTAGTAATTGCATGCACTAAAACCGGAGAAAGATGGTGCAAAATGGGGAGGAAGAACATGTTACAGTTCCTTGACTTTGAAATTGAAACTCATCTCGTGGGATGGATCTTCAGGCACGGTCTCACTCGTATAAATACAAACAACACACATAGCTAAGCTTCTTGATGTCATCTGGAACCGCTTCTTCATCATGCTGTCGTGCCCCTCTGTAGGGATGGTCGGTCTGCCGGTTGGGGGCAAATATAAAACTACACTTATTCTTGATGATGCACATCTTTGAGTGTCTCACTTGGCTGGCGGCGGCACCGGAAAATGCAGCGGATAGTCTGATGAGCTGCCCGTTAAATTTTAATTCAACTCTGGAGGATGAGATTGGTAAAACCAGTCAACTGCATTTATGAGCGATTCGCATTTCTCCCAAAATAAACTATCGTCCATGGACGGTACCTATGGCAATTGTGCAGTGTGGTGATTGCGTTCTGTTGCGGCTCCGGAGGGAAATTGGTAATGTTACGGATGCATCCGGTTGTCATCGCCAGGGTTTGGGCGGACGACCGGAGGCGGGCATGACATGCTGCCCAGACCATTGCGGAACGCCGTCTCAAGAGAGCTCTCAGAGCAGCAGCAGCAAATGCAGAACTGGTGAACCAGATCATCTTGTCGTTAACGAAACGTCCTCGTCACCGCCGCGTCGGTTGTCCTAATCAGCGTTTCGCTGCTTGGTTTTTGGTTTGGCTAAATTAATTTGAACCTTTGCTTTACTGGTTTTGCGTCTTGTGCTTGAGCCGGGATGTGCACTTGATCTAAAGAGGCGTTTGAAGGGTTTAAAAATGCGAAAGAAATGGGTGCACATTCGAAAGTTACTGCAGTGACTTGTGTCAACTTGTTTTGTTTGTTAGTTAAAACTATTATTAGATTTGGGTTTTGCGTTTATTGCGTTTTACTCTAAACAAATTATTCTGCATAGGTAGCTTGAGAAATGTTGAATTGAAAACGAAGGAGACGGCTTTTTTTGCGAAACATGGACATGGCTTTTTTTGCGAAACATTTACGAGCATTGATTGACTCTTCCTCTCTGGTAATTCATAGACAGCGTTGCTCCATAACCATATTTCAAAGCTGCGGTAGGAAGATTGCCTGTCAGTGGTACAGACTGACACGTTGAGCTAATTCTGAAATGTTGATCTTCTGTTGGACGCAATTGGAGCTACGTGTTTATAGTTCCTTAGTCACTTTCTCAACTTCAGCTAAAACGGAATCACGCAATACTATCAAACGATCACAAAATATGACCATCACAGTATAGGGATACGAACATAGTGAGACCTTATCTCAGGCACAGTTTTATGATAATTTATTTATTATGAATAATATAAATATTAGAAATAAATGAGGAGTAAATAATTATTTTGACCCATTTTTTATGAAAATTATAGGAACCTAACAGAAGTTGATGATGATGATGATCCCACCTCTTACCCCTACAAGGGACGATTTATCTTTAAGATAATTAAGTATGCCATCTTAACCAGATTAGCAAACAAATACGAACTGGTTACAGTTAGAGACATAAATTCCCTCAACAATTTTCAGTTGCTTCACAGCGATATAAATGTGAAAAAGCATAGGTGTTCACCTCTTTGTTCACCCTGTTGTCCACCCTAAATATTCACAAGTATTCCCAGCGATCAAGAGATCATGAATAATCAACAAAGCATTCTAATACACTATCAACCCCGCAATCTGATGCTATCGTAATTTTCAGCAACGTCTGGAATGCTCACGAACCCCCGGCATTCAGCCAGAAAACTTACTACTAATTCAAAGCATCTTCCAAATAAGCTTCAAAATTCATTTTTTTTTTTATTATGACAGCCATACAAAATTATCCGTTAGAGATAACTTCGTCAAGATACAAAATTTGTCAATTCATTAAAAAAAAATCACTGGTTCACACAGTTTTCATGTGTGAAATGCAGTGTCTCTTAAATTCTGTAAGTGTTGCTGAACGTTTGATATCTCTAGGCATCGAATTGAAAACATTTATTCCCTTAAAATATAATGAATTTTGTGAAGCAAAAGTCAAGAAATGTGATATTCTTATTTCTACCGCGTTTCTAGTATTATATCTATTAAAGTCACTTCCTCTTTCAATTCGATCACACAAATATTGAGGTAGCAAACCGTTAACTACTTTAAAAATAAAAACCATAGTCAAATATACAATTATTTACTTCACCAACAACCATTGTATCATAGAGGAAACTCTAAGACCAGAAGGTCCCGAAGATACGTGCTCAACTTTTTGGCTCAGCTCTGGTACTATCTTCGGTCCCAAGCTAATCGATGCACCCCTCGAAACATAAGAAAATCCATGAACCCCTCATTTTATCTGTCACACTTTCATAGCAAACAAAAACAAACATTGTGTAGTACTAGAATTTCGACTAGAATGGGATACGTTAATCGTTTGCTTGGGACCAATAGACTAGTCAAGGAGTAAGCCAATTTAAAATCGTTAGTTTCGAATTGATTGTTGATTGCATGGCGTCTAGCATCAAAGTTGAGGAAGTGAATCGATTACATCTCAAAATCAAACGCATTATTTTACTCTGCCAGCGCTGTAATCTCGATATTTGTGTTTCATTGGCCAGAAATAAAATGGAAGGTCAAAAGTCTAGATGAGGAGAGATGATTGTTTTGTATAGCTATATACGGGTAATAGTTAAATCGTTTTTCAGTCGATATAGAATTCCATACTTCTTGACAATTTTCTTGATGACATTGACAATGTGAGAGTTGAGCTTAAGTTTGTCAATTACAACAGAAACGTTCTCATTTACTCGATTCCGCGAAATTACCATACATTTAGTTTTACTTGTATTCAATTTCAACTGCTTATACTTCAACCATCAACCATTCAAGTGTGAAACGGCATCATCTAAATCCTTAGCTGCAATGAATAACACAGTATCAGCTGCAAAACGATTGATTTCAAAAAAGTCATTAATATACATAATAAATAACAGGGGCCCTAATACGCTTCCCTGGGGCACTCCATGGTTATTTCCCACGGGACTGGAAACATAATCATTAAAAACAGTCCGTTGAGTTCTGTCACACAAATAGGTTTCAAACCATTTATATGCAGTACTCGTAATTCCAAAGCGCTTGATTGATCGTAACAATAAGGACCTAGAAATTGTTTTAGAATAAAAAAACAGCCGCAATCGTATCTTTACACTCTAAGTTATTTTTCCACTTCGCTAATACCAAATTCAACGCGATTTCACAAGAATGACCATCCCGATATCCCGATTGTTCTGGTATCAACAGAATATTACTATTTAAATACTCCAGTTACGAGAATTGAAAGTAAATTCTGAGAATTGAGAGTAAATTTCAGGAAAGTGCCAATAGTATCAGGGAGCATACAAAAACCTTTGGGCAGTTCCATTATCTTCAAGTAAACTGCAGGAACTTTAAAGTTGTTCCGAGAACCTCGAAAAAAATTCGAAAACTTCAAAAAATGTTTGAGAGCATTCGAGAATTGGGTTGTTTAACTTCGAAGAATATACCGTTTTTATACATTATCTGATAGAGCTTTGTTCTATGAGCACAACGATATTTTTATCGATCCTGTAGACATTCATCTCGATTTTTAAATCAAGATTTAAGTTTTTGATCGTTGACACTAAATCTAATTCGTTGACAGCTCGCTCCCATACAAAGTCCTACCAAGGGGCACTAAGATGGTGATTTTTGCCAGTTCCAGTGTACCAAAATTGATAAAATTTTGGATTTAGGTTCCATTTTTCATTTTCAAACCAATTAGCGGAACATCAAAGGAATGCGGGAACAGTTTAATGAACGTAAACTTCAGAGCAATTTCGAAAACTTACTTTTCAGCTGCGGACCAGGCTTTAGGGTACACCCTAATTTTACTTACATCAACAAATTGACAGAAGCATGTATAAAAACTTCCCCAATGACATCAATGATGACAAATAAATTCCTTTTCGAAATTTTTCGAAAACATCCAGACATGGTTGACGTGAGATTTATGAAGGAATAAATTGAACTGTTTGTTGCTAACATGATTTCGGTGGTCCTAAAATGATGAATGGGCTGGACGTAAGGATACGTGATTGATAATGCTCCCGAATATCCTGGTAAATACACTTTGACTTAAGTAACATTAGGGGGCCACCAAACGACGTACAATAACTTTTGTCTCAAACACCAGATTTTTTCAGCATGACAGCTAGTGATCTGCTTTGTATAATTAAAACCCTGCTTAGTATGTTAAACATTGATATCACTATGATATTATATGTGTTTAATTGGAAAAAGGAATAACTTTTCGGTCATCAAAACAAAACTCGATTTTTTAACCAAGATTTCTCAATTACTTTTTCGAAGGGACGTATCAGCTTTTGTAAACAATGCATTTGATCGTCAATTTGGCGTAACTGATAAGTCGCCCACGCATGCTAACTGGGGAAATTTTCCCCCAGTGTTAGTATGCGTGTGTGAGTTACCAGTTATGCCAAATCGGCGGTCAAATGCATTGTTCACAAAAACTGATATGTCCCTTCGAAAAAGTAATCGAGATTTAATGCAAAATATTAACTTCACTGTTTGTCGCTCAAGTACCAAATTGACAGCTCGCTCCTATCCAAAGTACCACTGAGGGGCGCTAAGATGGTGATTTCTGCTAATGTAATCCCACTTATTTAAAATAATTCCGGTGTACCAAAATTGATGAAATTTTGGTTTTTGGATTGGATTAACCCAATTGGGTTCTTTAAGGGTATTGACGTAAATGCATATTCTTAATCAGCATTAAAAATGGAACCCA